AGAAAAATGTGCTATTTGCTGTGTGGAGGCTCTCTGACTCTCCACAGTCTTTGTTGGTCCAGGAACATGTTGAAATCAGGTAAATAGGGCCACTTTCTGACTGTAGTCTCAGTGACAAATGTGGCCTAATTTACCTGAAGCCAGCCTAAATAATTCAGACACTACACCTAATGTTGAAGGTAATGTAGGTTCTGTGGCAAAATGATACAATCATAAGAAAAATCTATTAAAACATTTAAATTAAAATAAAATAATAAAACTTCACACTTTATGCTTTGGCTGCTGGTAGAAGTCCACTGCGAAGTTTGGGCTCTGCAGGAGTGCCATTGTAAAGGCCAAAGTATGGGCCTGTTCCAATACCCACTCCTGCGTCCTTGGCCACTTGAGAGTATGTGTGTCAGTCTAAAATGACAAAGCATGGTGACCTTAACAAACAATAAATCCATAATACTACTTTAGAGGAGAGCAGTATTTGAGGTTATCCCATCATGTTCAGGAGCTCATAAAACTGCAAGATTTTAAGAGAAACCTTTCAGGGTAAGTAAAATGAATTAGATATCACATCTAATTGTAAACGTAAAGTGTTGCACATTTTATTGATGAGTATGTGTATTTAGTCAAATGTTTGCAAATTCTTTTTATCAGCTAATCAGAAGCACCGCAATGTCAAAATAGTTTTGTCTGTTACTGAACAGACATTTAGAGTTTCAACAACACTTCAACATTTGAGCTAAATACAGGAAATACGGTAAGATGGGGGAAGAACCCCTCCCCCTTAAGAACAATGTCCATATACTGATCAAGTTTAACACATTTAAGTTTAGCATGTATCTAATCATTATGCATCACTGTTATGGAAATCAAAAAACAATTAACAGTTTAGTTGTAATGGCACAAACATGAAAACTATGAAAGGGGGCCATCTTGCCCCACCATTGGGCCAAAATGACCCCCTAGCTGGGGCAGGAAGCCCCCATGGGCTTCTGACCTTTACAAAACATTTTATATGAAGTCCAGTATAAATATATATATTTACATGTTTACACACACACAATTTGTTTACTTAGGTATTTAAATGTGGACATTCAAAAGATTTTTTCAATTTTTATACTCAGCTTATTTTAAATACTCTTACCTAAGATAACCCTAACAGAAAATTGTCTGTATTTTTTATTTATTTATTTTTATATATCATTTTTACAAAAGAGGATGTCCCTGGATGTCCTCAAAATGAGAGAGATAGTGAGTGAGTGAGTGAGTGAGTGAGTGAGTGTGAGTGTGAGTGTGAGTGTGTGTGTGTGTGTGTGTGTCTGTGTGTGTGTTTAGATCACTTACAAACTTGTCCTCAAAATACGGTAGGTACACACACACACTTTATTTGATCCCCTCCCCCATAATACTTTGCTCTCAGACTATTTCATTCTGAAGTGGAGGTAAGCTAAAGCTAATGCCTCCAATTCACTCTCACTCACTTTTTTTAACATTTTATCTTTAACATTTTCAAGCGACCTATTATTTTGGGGCAAGATATGCCCCATTTTGAGAGGGCCATCTTATCCATATTAGAATGATTTCTGAAGATCATGTGACACTGAAGACTGTAGAGTAATGATGCTGAAAATGTAGCTTTGCATCACAGGAATAAATTTGATTTGAATGTATAATAATAAAGAAAAACATTATTTTACATCATAATAATATTTCTCAATATTGAATTTTTTCCTGTATTTTTCATCAAATAAATGCAGCCTTGATGAGCATAAGAAACTCCTGTAAAAAAACATTAAAATAGTTCTGATCCCAAACTTTTGACCGGTAGTGTGTATATATATATATATTTCTTTCCTCAGATCTAAGTTATTTATTCTACCCCTAGTCCGCAGTGAACAAACATACATATAAACTTTTCATATTCAATGTAATATAAACACATTTCATCTTTTTTCAAATATCAGAAATTAGATAAATTTACCTCAAAACGGTTCTAATGACATTACTCTCACAAATTAGTGCACACACAATTTAAAATATGCTTAAGTGAGTCCTATAACTATCAGTTGTCAATAGGAAGGGGGGGCTTCTTCCCCAATCTTACCCTTCATCATCTAAGTAGACAAGTGGTCAAGTGCAAAGGTTGCATCGGGGTGTACTTTCACCAATGTTGTATACAGTAGTTAAGATGTCAGTGAGAGAATAACTGCGTTGTAATGGCAGAACTTTCTAGAACATTTGATCCATGAACAATTGTGGTCTTTACACCCATTTGAACACTTGGGCCACTTACTGGAAATATATAATGTAATGTAAGTAGACAAGTGGTCCAGTAACAAGACCACAAGTGTGAGTATTGGGCCAGGCCCGTTACTTCATTTTCTATGCATACGCTATAGGTACATGTGCAGTGTGTGACATAAATTTCATTGTCAGTATGTTTTGTGTGTACTGTACGTGTGCAGCCAGAGTTGTCTAAAGCCCAAAGTATACTTCAGTTTTTATATGGGTTCACAAAAAGCACAATAAGCACCTTTCTGAAACCTAAAATGACTACGGTCTTGTGGATTTCATGGACATATGCATGTGGACGCCATTGTAAGTGCGCAAGTCTGTCAGACAAGTGATGAGCAGGGGGACCAGTGCCGATCCTAGACTTCTGGGGGCCCTATGCAAAACTGTGTCTGCAGGGGGTGTTTGGGGGGGGTTATGAGTGGTTATGAACGAATGAATGAAACACATTTGTCCGTGTTTCACTCCGTCTCGAATCGTGCTTGCGGAAAGCGTTTGAGAAACAGTGTCTCTTCTGCGGCTCGGTACGCTTTCAACTCGTTTTTTTTGTCTCGAGCAAGACTCTACGACATTCAATTACATGATTTGACTGATTTTTTACGTAGAAAGGGCGATAGCGCACCTTAAAAGAAATGATCATTCATGTTTCCATAACCGCTAAACAAATTCAAAAACGAAACTAAAATGAAATCATATTTGAGAGCAAGGGGGCCCCCTGGTGTTTCGGGGTCCCTACGCAGCTTGCGTATTTTGCGCATAGGGAGGATTGGCTCTGACTAGGACTAGGCCATCTAGAGAGAAGTCTGTCGTTGCAACGTTTTGATTTAAAATTAGGAAATAAATAAACAAACAAACAATGGTGATCTAGGCCTATAACCAGGGGTGCACATAAGTGGTCCGCAGGTCCGCATGCGCGACCAAAACAAAAAGTGCTCTGTGTAAATAAGTTCTGACAGCGCATTTGTTTACTGACATGATTGACAGCTGTTAATGCACGATCACCATTTTAGATCGACAAACTGTACTGTATAAGATTTCTATTCAAACTGAAAGCATAAATCTAGGCTGTTTTTTCAAAGCACAATGCAAAACTGTGACATTTCATTCACTGACGTTCTTCGATCGGCAGCTCCAAACCCGCCAAAATAAAAGCCTGCTGATTTTAAGTTCGAAAATGAGGAAAATTTAACAAAGTAGTAGTAAATATTAACATTTTATTTTTGTTTACTATAAAGTAATTGTATTTAATACTTCCCTTTAATTTTTAAATATAACAGTATTATCACACTTTATTATATAGTTTATAAAAAAAATGTTAAACTAAATAAATAAAGTGCAATATTATTATCAGTCTTATTCATTTATATTTTAAATTAGTTATATTTAATGGGTAACAGTACAGTATATGCAGTGTGAGGAGCAAACCAAATCTCCAGGTTCTCATATGAGAACCAGGCAGAAAAACGTGTGTGCACCCATGCCTATAACATACATTTAGAAAACAGATAGAGTGATTGCATTTCATCAGTGTTGGGGAAAGTTACTTTTAAAAGTAATGCATTACAATATTGCGTTACTCCATAAAAAAGTAACTAATTACGGTACTTAGTTACTTTTCATGGAAAGTAATGCATTACGTTACTTTTGCGTTACTTTTTAAATCTGGACAGGGCTTGCTCGTTTGTTTTTAAAAATAAAAAAAGTTATATTTTTGGCAAATATAAAAGCCTTTTCACACCAAAATTGAAATGAATAAGCCTTGATTAATTTTGAGCAATACCGAATCATTTTTTTTTTTTGTGAGTGAGATGAGTTAATGCATATTCATATTTATTTTAGAACTACAGTAACATCTTCTGATTTCTTTCAACATGGGGACAGGAGAGCTGTCAATAAATAAACTGAAAAAAATTGTATTCTTATTTTTAAAAAGTAACTCAGATATTCTCTTGTAAATTAAAAAGTAATGTGTTACTTTACTAGTTACTTGAAAAAAGTAATCTGATTACATACCTCATGTTAATAACGTAACGTAACGTAATGCGTTACCCCAAACACTGCATTTCATGCCGACTTTAAAGGGGTCATATGATGTTGCTAAAAAGAACATTATTTTGTGTATTTGGTGTAATGAAATGTGTTTATGCGGTTTAAGGTTAAAAAACACATTATTTTCCACATACTGTACCGGGTTTTAAAGGGGTCATATGATGTTGCTAAAAATAACATTATTTGGTGTAATGAAATGTTTATGCGGTTTAAGGTTAAAAAAACACATTATTTTCCACATACTGTACATTATTGTTTCTCCTCTATGCCCCGCCTTTCTCAAATGCGTCGATTTTTACAAAGCTCATCGGTCTGAAAAAGCGAGGTGTGCTCTGATTGGCCAGCTGTCCAGTGCGTCGTGATTGGCCGAATACCTCAAGCGTGTGATGGAAACGTTTAAAGGGGTCATATGATGCGATTTCAAGTTTTTTTTTAACATTAAAGCATGACAACATATTCTGTTACACCAAATAATGAACTTTAAAAAAGCATAATTTGACCCCTCAGAGGCGTTGTCCTGTAAGGAAATACTAGTGAAGTTATTCAAGTGTCTTTTAGTCATGTAAGGGTGGTGACGGACTCCTTTCTGAATGGCACACAAAGATATTTCAATACTGATGTTTTATGATTGACATTAGTAAGTCACTAAAGGCTTGACCAAATAAATGACTGTGCACTGTTGTTTTCTAGCGAGTTCCTGGGGAAAACCCCAGGGCCTGGCGTTCAGAGATGGGTTCCTTCACGAAGCACTAGACGAGATGTCAACTCCTCAAATGAAAAAGAACGACACGATGCAATCTTCAGGAAAGTGAGAGGGTAAGAGCCTGAAATGAATCTCCTCATTCAGTTTGTGCTGATTTACCTTTCGAGAATGATATAAAAGACTTATGTGCTTGAATTGGTTTGTTTGTTTGTTTCAATGGATTTTACTGAAAAATTGACCATTTTGCTTCTGTTTTTTTTTTTAGCATACTTAATAAACTGACCCCTGAAAAGTTTGACAAGCTATGCCTTGAGCTCCTGAATGTGGGCGTAGATTCAAAGCTCGTCCTCAAAGGGATCATCTTGCTGGTGAGGATTTTGTTTGGTATATATGTAGGCTAGAGTTGTCACACAATGCCAGTACTGGTGAAACTTAGCAATGCCAACTTTTCTTGTGCAAGATCATCACGCGAGAGCAAACCGATGAGAACGTGCAATAATGAGTCATGAAAAAATAGAGCGTAGGCGCTAGGGGTGTGCGATATATATCTTCTGCAATAATATCGTAATTGTTGTTTTAACGATGTGCGATTTGACATTATCGAGTATTTTGCAAAAACCATTCAAAACATCCCTACAGAGCGCACGCATACATTAAGTGAAGTCTAGGCGCGTGCGCATTTAGTGCGGTTTCTTTCACTGCATGATTCAGTCTATTAAAATGCATTTAGAATGATCACAAATTCATGATGGCAGAAAATTTCTATATTTATACCACTTCATATAGTTATTCAATTTCACACGA